ACGTCCCTTCACTCATCCCGTCACTTTGATGATGCTCGTGAGAATCACCATTCGCCTCTTCCTTCTTGTGCTAGAGCACAAGATCCAACCACCTGATCTGACTGTGCAAGTACTCACAGTCACCTTCACTGCCTGGTAATAACCGTAATGTAATCTTCCGTCTCTGGATTGAGATGCACCGAAACCCGCGGCCGATCTGTCCCAGAATTATTAACTTCCTGCTGCTGCTGTTGTTGCTCCCGCTGCTGCAATTACCAGTGGGGGGGAACAATTTGAACGGGAGAAGATCGGGACACTAACGAGACGCCCTCCCTTCTTCATCTGCCAACATGCACACAGGAGACGCTGCTGCTGCTGCTGCTGCTGCTGCTACTGGGAACTTGGCGCCTCGGCCAGTCTTCATCCTCCAAAGGCGGGCAACAGGAAGGGCCCCTCTTCAGGGACCACTGGGACCACTACCTCGCAGGGAAGTGAGAGCCCAGCGTCCTTGGAAAGGCCACAGGCCGATCCCAGCCTGCGGTGACAGCAACCGACTGCTCTTCCCGGCACCCAAAGGTCAAGGGCCTGTCCACTGCTCAGGTGGAAGATTACTTAGCCTCACGAATCGTTGGAGAAACTGGGCCTTCGTCCCCGACTCCCCGTAGCGTACTGCCGCGCTGGCTCGTTCCAAGCTGGGAGTATCCCTCCTTTGACCAAATATCCAATACCGCTCCTTTGTATCCCCGATACCTGCCGGGCGGTTCTCCCGAGACGAGACGTTGAGTTGAGCCCAGTCATTCGAGTATCGACTGCTCCGGCTCTCCGCTGCTCTGCGCCGTAACTGTGTCTCTGGGTTTCTCGTGAACTTGGTATGAACCAACATTGAAGTGACCATAGAAGCTGATGCTCCGCGTATTCCCCGAGACCACTCCAAGCCACAGCGGGTGCAAACCTGTGAGCAACCAGTTTAGGAGACATTTGTCAGGCTGACAATGAGACGGCCGTGGACTGACGAGAACGAACAGGCAAAAAATACCGCTCGACCGTACGATGCCGCACTGCCTTTGCTTTGAAGGTTGCACCGAACCGGACTGGTCTGCGTACCAGCGTGCCGGACAGCGGACGTTGAACTGAATTAGAAGAGGTGGAGGCCACTAAAACCGAGAGGCGGCAAGCCCAGAGACGAATGAGAGCCTCGGTGCCGGGTTTGAATGTACCGTCTAGGCTCCGTACTGCGCTTCGGATTGTGGCCGGTCGGCATTCCTAGCTTGCCTATACTTTGCGAGTTCTCGTTTCCTCTCCCTTTGGTAGGCTGGTCCTCAAGACAAACAAGTGCAGACAAGTGCCTGGCTGCAAAACGCTTGCCCAGAGCTGAAGAAGCGAAAATAGTAGGTATCGTATGCCTGGCTCTGGTCAGCCCATCCGTGTGCCACAATCTCTCCCTCGCTCTTGGAGAGAAAATGCCTCTCCATGAATATATGCCTAACTTCTGGGTTTCCCCGTCCGCTCTGTCATTTCTCTAAGACTCTAGTTCAAAGGCCAATATACCGTCGACGGCGCCATGATCCAGGAAACCGTAGCTTACACGATCCCGCCGTCAGGTTAGATTTCAGGGTCCTGTCAGGAAACATGGGAGGGAACTTGCAACAAGCAAGGCACGGTCAGAAGCCCGCCCGCCCCTTCGAGTCCCATCTCGGCGGAACTCCACCCAAGGCGACTTCACCTCGCGCTAAGGAAGCAAGAGAGAGGAGCAAATCGAGGCACCGCTGCACCAGCCGCGCCGGGCGGCGGTCCCTGACCATGCCTACCTACCATGGTGGTGGCATGGCAGCGCCAACACGCGTGCCCAACGACGTCGCCTGTGGGACCTTTTCCTGACTCCAGAGCCACAGTGACTCTGCTGCAGCGTCTTGGCCGTCTTTGGCTTCCAGAATCCAGTTCTGGGCTTGGGTACCTCGGATTGGCTATTTGTTAGTTGGGTTATTTGGTGGATGATGAGCGGGATCTCAAGTTGCTCCAGACAATGGAACGCGGCCCCAGCAGCTGAATCCGTCGTCTGTTCATCAGACCTTTCCCCATCCGTTTGCCTTCTCAAACCCCTCCAAATCGTGACCCGCATCCATCATCCACCATACCACCTTGTTTTCGGGAATACGCTGGCAATACTTTTGCTTGTGCATGGTGAACGCGCATTTCAAAACACTGGGTTAATTTCAATTCATTACGAATAGAGATCTGCTTCCTTTGAATGATCGCAGGCTGCAGTACCCGTCCATGCTAATTGGAACCCCATGGAGACGGAGGAGCCACATGTTATTGATTAGGCCCAGGGTCCAGACGCCTTTGACTGGCGAACTCGCTTCTCAGGGACAGCTTGGAGCTTCTTCGATACGTTTGGTATTGTAAATCAGAGGCTCAAATGCTGTCCGGTACTTCGTGCTTATCGCATTATAATGCGCTTCGGGCTGCCATCGGATCGGAGATGGGGTCATGTCCAATTACGGGTGGCTGATGGTTCTTTAAGGAGTCAGCGTTCGTGGCCAGGTTAGGACAAGCTCATGCCAGGGTATCGGTGGTGATTAATGATTGGTGCGCCCGCTGCGGCTTAGTGACGAGGTTAGTATGGCTGAAGCGTTCATGGGTGCATTGACAAGTTCGCAAGGAACTGCAAGTTGGAGGCTTCATCCAATGCTCATCACGGATCTGTTGCTTGATTGATCCATGGTACGCCCACCGAGAAGCGAGCGAGAATTCGGGCGCATTGGACCGTGGCAAGCGTGGCTTGCGACCGGTTCGAACCCCACCTGCTGCCCTTCACCTGCTTTCTTCCCTGCCGATGCGCTTGGATCGGTGCCGCCAATGAGAGACGTCGGCCTGCAATAGTCCTGAATGGGTCGGGGGTCCAAGGTAGCTCGTACCGCGGCACTACTTTGCCCGTGGCCTCGTTGAAGCTGTCGAACGTCTAGAACCAGGCTTCTAGCCGTCGAAAGGTACCGGTATTGGCGACAAAGGGCCCCCCTTGACCCGTCATCCCACGCTGCATGTCTGTGTCTGAGCCAGTCGAACGTGCTCTGACCATTGTCTGGAACGATGCCGCCCACGGCGCAATCGCTGCGACATAGGTAAACCGACCACCCGCGCCATTTTATTGCGACAGTATGTGAGGTTGGGTCGCTCTAGTGCATATACCCGCTGGTGGCCGCATCTTCGCCCGTTCCATGACGAAGCTTGGGTGGAGTTCACACGTGCGGTGGACAGACCAAGATGGCAGTGGCCAGCCTCTTGCTGTCATCCCTTGGCGGCGGATACGCTATTGCGTAGATGCGTGGGTAGTCATCCGTACGGAGTACCCATACTCGCTTCTTTGTGATGATGGGTCTCGTCAGCCTTAGGCTTGGAGAAGACGGGAAATATTTTGAATGTGCCGCTGGACTCGCTGTGTTCCATGTTGAACACAGGGGATGGGGGCAGGACAACGGTGGCACGGCTGCGACCTGGCCTGTCGACCCAGATTCGCGTCCACCTCTGGTCCCCCACGCGGCAGGCAACGTCTGAGCAGTTGATGGTCATCCGATGGCAGGTCGATGGAGATGGAGTTTGGAGGGAAGCACGGACTCCAGCAGGGAGTCAACTCTGCTCAAAAGACGTTGCAAACCCACAGGGCCGAGCATGAGTTTAGGCTAATGAGAGCCGCGTGTTTTGTGCGATATCCGTAGATCGTTTGTCCATGCTAATGGGGGCAATCTCACGGCAGGCCGCAGGAGTACAAGGTGGTAGTTCCAGGCTGTGAACCAGGGTTGGTGCCCATCTCAGTGCAGATTTGACTTGGTGGTCGGTTGAGTTGAATACAACATGCCAGCGACTGTAAGAGGAAACGAGAGGGGAGCGAAAAGGCAGCGGAAGAATACCGAGCTCTATTTTGGGGTGGTGAAGGCCATACCGGTTCGGATGCAGAATAAGAGGAGATGTCGAGGCAGAAGAAAGTGCCTCATAGCCAGCCGTTGTTGTTGATGGATGATGTACTAACCGTGTGGTGGTGGGATACTCGAGACTTGAGAGTCGAAAGTGGTCTTCGCTTGGATTCCGATGCTCCGATGCAGGTGTGCTGCAGCTCGCGAGACTGGGCCGGCATTGAGGGTTTGGGAGGAACAAAGGGCGTCAGCGTGCAGCAGAAGATGCTACCTTGGGTAGGGAGTTTAGCTAGCAAGCATCGAACCTGGCTGCAGACTCTCTCGGACGGACGTTGAGTATTCGTACGGATAGAGGTAGAGTTGACAGGTGAGGTGAGCGAGAGATCCGCAAGGTGAGGAAGGAAGACGGATGGAAGGGGATAGGGACAAATTGACAATGCAGCAATTAGAACCTTGAGGTGTTGTTCTGAATGGATGTACGGGATACCACCTATTTTGCGGTTGCTGCATGTGCCGGGGAGGTATCCGGGACCGAAGAGGCAAGGACTCTTGAACACTTGCAGAGAAGGTGCAGGGAGACCATGTTGGAGGACCCCCACACGAGACTGGAAATGGCAGCAACATCCAGTTCTATCCACCTTACCTTATGGTCTGGTCTACGGTCTACCTGGAGGAAGTACGGAGTAGCATTGGATAAATCCGGAAGCTGGTCATACCTGCTGCCTACCTATCGCAAATACACAACTCTAACGCTCAGGACGAAATCATTCCTACCTTAAATCGTTCCTGCCTCCTCATCACGGAGTGGAAATGGTACAAAGGTCCGGCTGGAATGGGAAAGACGTAGAAAAAAGGAAGGAGAACTAGGTAAGAAGCATAAGACGAGAAAGGCGTGAGATGTATCCGTATATCCGGGGAAAGAGCCATTGGACCAAGGTTAACAAACTACTATACCTTGTCTAGGTATTCGTAGGTTGAAAGGCAGGTAGGTTGTTGCCCGCTCCTTCATTCCGTATCCGTATCTTATTGCGCACACCTCAGTGTTTCTTCATGACATGGGAAAGTGAAGGAAATAAGGAACGATGAGAGATGTCTCCATTTTCAGACGCATTTTCCGTCAGACTTCTCCATTCTCTGCGCCATGTGCTCCATCCCCAGTCCCATAACTTGCAAGATATCCCTACCGAGTACTCGTCCTCTGCACGGAACCAATGCTACTGCTACTGCTACCCCTACTGCGACTCCTCACTTCCTCCTTCCCATGCTCCATTCTCACGCGTCCAAAGCGGCCTCCTCAATCCGACCTACAATCCTCCAGCCTGACATCTGGGCCTGTTGCTCCCGCTAGCAACGCTCATTCACGAACCTCCCTGTCTCTCTTACCGAAATCTTTCCTGTCATCCAACATCACTCGTCTCCCCTTGGTCACATTCGTATCTCGATACTGGCTGACTGTTCATACCATACCCGCACCTCGGATAACTCACCATCAACTTCTGCCTACTCCTCTTCACCCGCTCGAAACCCGCTCGGAGCTGCTCCGCGACTCCTTGCCCTCGTTGCCATCGACCTGGATCATCAAGGAGGCGTCTCAAGAATAGCTCCGCTTACAACTCGCCAATCCCTGCTGCAGTCGGTGAGCCAACGGCCCAGCCTTCGATATAACATTGCAGGAAACAGATACACGGTACGCATACGCATCGCCCACCCGGCCCTTCTCTGCTCTTACGAGTCATTTTAGAACCACCCATGGCACACTTCACAGACCAACATGGGCCACATAGACCGAAACCACCCATTGCCTCGTGGCGGAAGGGTCCCATACGGGCATCTTCCTGGCCATCACCTCGAGCCTGGCGGGCGCTCCTAACAAGGGTGCTTCTCGGAGAATTGGCATTGTACGATTCAAGTTACTGGGCAGTTGCGAACCCAAATAAACTCAACATGACAGCGTTGTATAGCATTGCAGCAACCTACTTGTTGATTCCGGATGCTCTTTGCAGTATTCGTACGGGTACACCGAGCGTACGGCACGGCTGACATTGTTTCTAATACGAACGCGTCCTCGATCCAAGGATGTGCCAACGAAGCTGGCAGGACGTGGAGACATGACGCCCGCAGCGTTATTTGTCTTTCCTCGAGCAGGCCTGCCTGGCTCTGCCAGGCTGCCTGTTGCCGTTCAATATGTACTGCGTAAACTGAAGCTCAACGGCGAAGTCTGCCCCATACTTGATGACATGGTTTCTATGGACGCTAGGGTGCCAAGAGGACACGGGGGGGCAGGCTGTCACCAGCAATATCACGGGGGCCGCATCGACTTGAAGCTGCCGGGCAGACCTCCGTGGTAGGCTCGCATGTCGATAAAACACAGCTTCTGATATGCACACTCCTCTGCTCTGCAAGCCGCAGAGTGCGTGAAAATCATTCACTTCTAGGAGAGCTTCTTCAACCGACTGTCACCTTTGTGAAAGAGATACTGCGGCCTGGCAAAGACATGACGAAATTCTGTTTGTCCATCTGTCAACACTTGATGGTTAAAGTCGCTGCCGAGCCATTCAGGGCTCTCGGTTCTATGCAGGGTGCACTATGCAGTCTCGCCCCCAATAGACCGATCTCCTACGACGACAGCGGCAGCCGCGCGCAGGGGCATATGCATCCGACTACGCAGCTCTATCCTCAACTCGGTTCAACTCGCATCAACTGTGGACCATACGGTCCTAGAGCTGCCGAGGGTCTGCGAATATTAGGACACCTCAGTAGTAGCAATAAGATATCCATGCAATGGGTTTGAAACGCTGAGATCAAGTCGATTCTCCATTCCGACTCCCGACTCCTGTTGCGGCTTGCCCCGTCTGCACAGCTGTGGTCCTGCGGATGTTCGAATGTTAAGCCGCAGCGGCCGACCCGTTGCGTTAGTCCTCAGACACCTTAGGGTCCGACGAAAATGGAGCGGAAGGCAATGTGGCTTCCCAGCCTCCATGATCGGAGCATGCAAGACATGCTTTGATGCCCAGCACCAGGCTCGAAATTGATCCTCATTGACTTGCGGAGCTACAAGGCCGTTCCGGAAACACTTCTTGACACACAGAATAGCATCCACATCGGGGCTCTTGCTGGGCCTGAGAGATCCAATACACGCTTTGGAAGGGGTCCAGCAAGCTTTGTCCACCGCTAATCTCACTATACTACGTCGCACTTTGACTTCAGTGGAAACCAACTTGACATGTGATCCTACAGACGGAGGCCAAAGTCTGTGATGGAGGTGTTTGGTATTGTGGCACAGATTGTCGCAGGACACGTCGTGTTCTAGAACGTCCAGCGCGTATGATGATATTGCACGGTGGCATTTGTGCCACCCGCTGTGTGGCTGAGGAGAAAGGTTGGGACTGATGATGTGCATGAACGATCTTGACGTCTGGGGGCGGATAACAGGCCGGCAATCTCAAGGCATCGCCAGCATCCATACATTTACCTTCAGACCATAAGCAATCGGTTTGCTATAGGGAAGCTGGGAGCGCTGGGGATAGACATCATTCCGTAAATGTTACCTCGATCCTCGCTTGAGTATTTAGACAATGACACGAATAGCAAATACGCCGAGGGAAGCTCAAAAAGCTCATTGTTACAACCTGGGATGGCCGGTATCGCAAAGGTATTTCACCGCACAAGCACCGCGGCGGTGGTTTCAACCTACCAAACAGGTGCGGCAGCCACATAATTCGTAGCAGCTCTATACGCGAGAACGAGTCTCGACAGGCTGACACTGGCTGTCAGCCTTCTCGAAGAACCGTCGGACCTGAGCCGATGGCTCTCCGCTAACACCGGCGCGATGTGCTCCGTAGTTTGAAAGTTAATGTGGATGGCGGTGAGTCGGAAGTGGACATCAAAGTCCCCGGCAACGCCACCACAAAGTCGCCAGAAGGCAACTGGGTCAGCATGGAGAAGCGGCACGACTCACGAGTCTACTGCGTTAGAATGGGCAACGGCTCCCTGACTTGCTTCCCTGCTGGCATGCATCTGCTAATCGACAGAGAAGCGAGCGTTTAGAGCAACGACCGGTCAGCCGTCGCCTATTGGTCTGGCTGATGTCTCTTATCGAGTCTACCCCCACATGGATATTTTAGGGCCCGGCAATCTCGGTCAAATTGCGAGGCCCCCACCGTCACCAACCTGCGGGTTTTTGTCGTGTGCCTCTCCTCGCTCGTTGCTGATCAACGAAGCCAACCAAACCACTCTCAATTGTCATCAGAGGAATCGCAGAGCTCTCGGCCGAGGATCGGTGCCTTTGTTCGTCACAAGTTGTGGAACAATCTTGATGCGTCGCTCCTGGGTGCCGTGCCGGATCCATCGTGGTTCCCAGGGTCCATCGGGCAAAGTCGGCCGACCTGCGAGCTTCAGGCTTCAGTCGGTTGCTGGTTTCCAACAGTGTCGGATATTAACGACCATGGTTTTTCGGAGGAGCAAAGAGCGACAAGCGCATGGTCGATCAAGTCTGAAAAGGGTTGCGTCCGCCGTGAAACCCTCGACTGCACCGGTCAGGCATTGAGGAGCCCCGCGTGGGGGTCTGATTCAATTCCGTCCTCACTCTCGCTGACCCAAACAGGGCAGGGAGCATGCCAGCTGCGACCTCGATTCCTGTGGCGTGCGGCCGGTAGGGCGATCAACACCAGATCACCAGTTCGACTTCGCTCTACGGAAACTGAGGCGAAGTCACGGCCTCCATGCTTCAGGGGCGCATGTCCTCCACCATGACGCTTACCACGGTTCCTGGGCGGTAAGAAAGACGGCAGTTGTCTTGTGACGTTCAAACAGGTTCGACTTCGGGTCAGTTAACCCTTCTTGGGATTTTGGTGATTTGCTGGTCGGATTCTCCTGTGCTCTCCATGGCCTGTCTATCAGGTCGAACCTTTAATCCATTTCCTAGCCCAAGAGACTCGCACAGGTTGAATGAGAGGTTGCGTCGGCTTGGTCGAAGTAATCGCTGCTGAATGCTGGTGGTCGCACGTCTGGTTCGAAGAAGAATATTGGGGGATTGAAGACGACTTATAAGTTGCCCTCTTATCTGGGTGCCAGATCTATCAAGGTGTAGGTTTGGCCAACAACGACTTGCTCCAAATAGGGCAGCTGACTCCTTTGCACCATTTTTCTAACAAATTAGCAATGCGATGCCGCCAGAGATCGGCTCGCGTGCGCAATCGTCTCCCTGTCGCGGTATCACTTACTTATCTGCCTTGTCTATCTCTCGTCTATCGTTCTCCTCGGACCTGCCCTATCTGCCAAAGATCAGGGCGTGCTGTGTAAGAACCAGAAACACTGCCCACGCTTCATTGGCCTCGCCGTCCATTTCAATGTCAAGGCGTATCTACGAGGCATTCCCCTCTTATCTCCAGACTCTTGGTTATTCGATCGCGTGCCCACCCTTGCCGCAGTCTATTGCCCGCAGCAGGAAGGCATTGGAGATGGCCTCCCCCTTTGAAGAGTCTCCCTGCAGCGCGCACATGTACGATGTTATGCATGTTTGGCGGCGGGAGGGGAGTGGATGGGGGCATTTTTTTTCTTCTTTCTTTTCTCCCTTTCCTGCAAGTGTGCGCGCCTTCGTCGTGTTTGTTCTTTATCTCTACTCTGCGTGGGATTGTTTCAAGCGCACCTTCTTATCTGGAAGATGGGCGGTCTGGGCGGGAACGAGGGGCTCCTTATCTTTTCTCCAGGTTTTCCTTTCCCCGGATATCGCTTGCCGGTGGACTGTGTGTGTCTTGTCGAGATATAGATGCGAACTGCTGCTGCTGCTGCTGCTCCTGCTGCCGACCTCGACTATTTTGTGACCCCTTGGAGCTTGTTTCTCCCGCTAGTTGACGCATTTGCCGATCCGACGCTCCTCGAACTGCCTAGTGACCTACGAAACGATAACTTGAAACTACTTCACACCGAATATGTGAATGCCTTTCCGGATGAGAGATGGATGGATGATGGCCGATTCGAATGTGACGCGAGTTCGACATGCCAGTCAACACAGCTTGAGTTAGGAGCATCGAACGAGGTGGAAGGGTTGCTCTGGCGGTCTACCGGAGAAGCTCTCGACTACCATGAAGTGGTGCTCCTCAGACAGGAGTTTCCCGTGGGCCCTTTCGATATCGAGGACGACTTCAATTGCACTGGCTCCATCCTGCTGCTACATTTTCGGCCCGGGCGAGCCGAAGGGGTCATGGTGCTGATGGACGATGACCGGTCCGGCAAGTCTGTCGGGCCGCGGTGCCAGGGACTACAAATATGGGATGATGTTGTCGTCCTTACACACGCTGGGGTCTTTTATTGCCAGTCTCTCGGGTTGACGAGATTCGGAGCGACCGAAGCCTATCGCAATCTGTTCGGACCCTTCTTGACTGGCTTCCAGCTTGGCAAGGTCTTGGGGTGGTCTTTGCTGTATCACGGCCCGCGATACACATCAACACCCTCACTCTGCTATACAATACTCGACGGATACTACTTACATAGGAAGACATGACCCGAGAAACGATGCCGACCGCCACGAGAGGATAGAAGAGACGAGGCCTCCAACTCGAAATCCCCATTGATATCCGAAGTCCTGCATCCCTACCTACGATTCGAGACCGATGCGTCGCTGTACACGAGACTCCTTTCTTCAATGCGAACTCCCCTTTCTGGCTTGGAAGGCGGTCGACTTTTTCACTAGCGGATTGTGGGGAGCAGACGCCTTGGAACACGTATCTCTCCTCTCCGAATACGTGAGCCAGAGACTATGGCTCGACAGACATTGTATGGATGGACTTACTACTCGATACTGATGCGACAGATCACGGAAGAGAGGAGCAGGCTAGGATCCTTGGCTACCTGGGAGAAATTAGTATACGGGCAGCGGAGGGTTATAGAGTAAACCTGTCGCAACGGGGCATATGACGGTATAACCTAGATCTGTATAGAGCGCGCCAAGGGAGGTGTTCGGTTGCTCTCGAGTCTCTAGAGGCAGGAGAGGGTTGACTTGTCCTTGGACTGGTCTTCCGTGCGAGGTCAATAGTAGTAGGATGGGAGTCGCAGATAATGAAAGTTCAATGGTACTCTTGTGCCAACTGCATGGCGAATAATGGTGCATCATGTGGACGTGTACCATTCAATACTAGATACGAACACCGGTTGAAAGCCTTCGCGTTTGACGTCTTTTCCGAAGAGAAAGCTCGATAATGGACAGGGAGGGATGAATGTTGGCCAGCCAGCCGGAGCAATAGCAGGATGAATGCCAACAGAGCATTACACTCCATCGCGAGATGTCCATCTTTCGGGGCTTCACGGCCATCTGCTCGGCGGTGGACCGCCCAGGCGAAGTCCTGACGGAGAGGAGCCGGGGGGGTATAAGAATAGCAGAAAGGATGCCAAGGGAAGCATCACGGTCTTTGACCTGTAGTTATCATTCCGTGACAAACATTTATTGCAAAACCGTGCATACCAGATCTCACAGGTCGCGAACTGCAGAACATCTCGAGGACGACAAGGAACCGAGTAGCAGTGGCGGCGGGAATAACAAGATCAAAAACAACATTGGAATACTCGCGGTAGATTATGGACCGGACCCTTCTTCCCCTGGTCCAGGCAGTGATAAGATGATTAAACTAGTCAGACCGAACATTTCATTCACATTGTCGGCGCGTCTAAAGCTAGACTCAACCTAGTAGGTTATCGGCAGATTCACTGCTCCTTGAGACCGCCATAGCCGTATCCGTCTCTGGATATGTCATAAATGAGAAGCAGCGTCGTGGTGTGAGGAAAGAAGAATGGTTGTCTTTACCGTGCGGCACTTCTTCCAGATTGACTTCGAAGCCCTCGCAGTACTACTCGGCCCATGTGACCAAGGGATGCGTCGTCCCCCATAAAGAGTATTAGAAGAAAAGAGTAATACGAGGAGTCTGTTATATAGGTGTAGAAAAACACACGTGGACAGGACGGTTTGATACGAAGTCATTGCTACTGATCTCGAAGAAAAGCCATGTTTAAGTCAGCGATTTACGAGCCGAGCCTTGCGTGGCTTAAAGTTATGGTTCATTCTGCATCTACTGATTGCTCGGGCGGTTCTCCCTGAACTTGTATAGCGAGCTCAAAACTCAATTCACCAGGCTTCAACAGATGCATACACAGCACGCTGTGCCCTCTCCGGACAACGCAGGCTGACGACATTCTCCTCTACATGGTGTCTAGATTCAGAGGATCGTGGATATCCCTGCAGTAGCCCTTTCCACCATGTTCTAGTGATGTGTTTTTGTCCTAGACAAGAGACAACGCCGGTTGTAAGATATGAAGGGAAAACAATCAAGGTTCACCATAGATGGGAATCGACTCTGATTGCCCCGACGAAGGGGGAGCGAAGTGCTGGTTCAGCCACAGGAACGGCCAATCCGATTGCTCCGTCAGTTCCGATAGTGCTGTTGGCAATTTCGTAGAGTTCCAAACCATTAAAAGCGCCAAAGCTATGCATACCCAGAATATCCCAGAAGTCGGAGCAGTGTAAGAGCTCTTGAAGTCACTCTCGATGGGAATGGGCACAATACATGTATGCCACCGAGAGATATATTCAAACCTCGAAGGTTTCGTCTTCCCTGGAACTCGGTAAAATAGGCCGCATCTGTCAAATTTGGGACCGTGTCTTTTGGCGCGACCAAGTTGCGCACATACCTAGGTAGGCTTCACCTCATCAGCGTGTGTTGCAATCCTGAGCCGGACCATGTTGTCGTCAGTCAGTCCAGGCTTC